AGAAGCCTTGTTTCCTTAGGGAACAGGACAAGAGTCTTTCTGCTGTGCTGTTTGTGAAGAACAAAGGGTAATTACAGGCTTTATTTATTCTGAGAATAAATCTATTCCCTGATTTTTATTTATTTATTAGTGTGCTTGTTTAGTGTTGCCTTGCATTTTAGATTAACTTTTGAAAGCAGGGGAACTGGTGTAAGGCATTCGCCTTTAGTAGTGTCCTCTGTGCACTGGTGTTACGGCCTGTGCGAGCTCCAGGGCAACAGACTCAGGGCCATTTGCATCTGATGACTTCTGATGCTAGAACGAAGATGAGAATTTCATAATTCATAGTTAAGGCAGTTATTTGACGTCTTCTGTCGTTGATGTTGAAGCCTTGTCCCATACGTTTGACAGAACAGACTCCAAATAAAGAAGGGTTGACATAGTAAGAGGAAAATTTTCTAGTACACTTATCTTGAAGTAGAACAGCTGGCATGTCTATTTTACAGGAAGGGCGAGGGAATATAACTAACAAGATTTGTATGGGAAGCAACAAGCAGAAGCTATAGCAATTTTTTATCTATCTAAATGATAATGGGCAATTAGTGTTATTTGTGCTGTTTTTAAACTAGATTTTTATAGTGTTTATTTCATGAAGGAAAGGAAGAAAGAAACAAAGAGCAGCAAGCAAAACTTGTTGCATTCTAAGTATCTATTTAAATAAATCATCGCTTATTTCAGTGGCCAGCAAGTTATTAAATTCAAGATGAGCCACATATGCTTCAGAAATTACAATTACGAAGAGATGCATGCACACAGACTGTGTAGTTGTGCTTGCATTAATGGATAAACAGCATACAGAAGACAAAATTACTTTGAAAATGGTCTTACGTTTCTCTGCTCAAAATTACCATGAAATTTTTTTGCTGTGTCCTGAATGTCTGGATGGCTGGGCAGCGGCATTTGAGCAGAGGAAAGTCTGTAAGACCGTCGTTGCTGGAAGCAACGTGCAAGTTCTGTGTAGCAAGCTGATGTTTGTTGGTTATGGAAATGTTTAGGTTGAGAAGCTGCCTAACTATCTGTCTCTGTCTTCGTAGTGGCTTTTATAGCCCTGCTGCCTAATAGCTAGCCTTGTAGCGTGCAAGTTTCCGAGACACTGCTTGAATGCCACCTGACAGCAAACAAAGGTTAATTATGTTTGAAGAATAGCTGTATTTTGCTATGAGTAAGCTAGAGTGGAGCGAGACAAATGGCATTATTTGCAAGAAGATCCTGCGTGAATTTTGGGGAAGCTTTGGTGGTTGGTTTCTATTGCACTGCTATATTCTGTTTTGCAAAAGATAGATATGACTGGTTTCTTCCTCATAGGGGGATTTACAAAGATCTTGATCACCGTGTGGTTGCAGAAGGGCACGGGGTCCAGGCAAGCATCTCCCGTTACAGGGTGAAGGCCTAAGTGAGGGAAGGAAAAAAGCATCAGTAGCATCGCTAGAGACCGTAGGGAAGGAAGGTTTCTGTTCTGTGTTGAAAGGGACCGGAAAGGGAGAAATTTGTTAAGCGTCAAGTACAGACTGCAGGAGATCTGTTTTTCCTATCTTCTCTCAAAAGAGATTTGTAAACCAATTCCATCTCCCCTTTACATGTGCTCCTCAGCATATGTAGCATTGATAAATCCTTTCATTTGAGGTGGAACTTCTGTTTCACTCTAATACCTGGCTTTACACTACTAATAAAGGGTTTTCAGCCTGTAAACGTTAAGTGTTTTCCTCTTGGATGGGGTTTAAAATTCTTGGAAATATGTTTCTGAAGCGTTCCCTGAAACAGCTTTGAGGAGTCTGAGCTGGTGAGTTTGGCTGCTAGATACTCCTGGCCCCCCACCCTTGCCTTTCGGTACAGGGTAGAGGCTTTCGTGTTTTCTCTTTAAGAACGTTAAGTGCAACAAACTGCCTTGTACCTGGAGAAATGAGAGTGGGCTCTCTCAGTTCACTGCAACAGGCATGCTGGAAATTTCGCAGCCTCTTGTGGCGAAACGTAAATAGTTCTATGTCTCTCTTTAGCACACGGACTAAGGGTTTGATTCCTGAATTCTTCAAAGCGTTACAGGAAGGGAAATAAATACTTGCTTTCTGCTTCGCAGTTGGCTAATAACTGCTGTGTGTCTTTTCGGCATTGCTGTTACTGTATTTATGGAGTGAAGAGACTTCCTTCAGAGCTACTTGATGAAATACCCTGGTACATGTTTCCCCTGGAGCAGGTTCACTGCTGTGGCAGCTAAAGGCCAGTTTAGATCGCTTTAAATATGCACCATCTTTCTTCTTTGGACACCTAAATGTAAATGCGTTTTGGCTACAGCAAATGACTGTGGAATGAATGTACAGACAGTGCAGGGGAAAGGGGAAGAGGGAGAGAAGGACAGTAAGGTTAAAAACGACTTAGTTGCATACTTTATCCTCGGATCTGCTTTGCAGTTAGTACTTGCTTCCTACTCTCCGTGTCTAGCTGCGTACACGTGTACTGGGAAGAAGGAAGACAGTCAACTGGTTCAGCGCTTACGGAAGCAGGAATAAGAGTGACTCTACTAAAATAACAGTGATGAAAGAGGAAAATTGGGTTGGGGTTTTTTTTGTTTAAAAGGAATACAGTAGAGGACTCTGCCAGAACAGAGTGAGGTGAGCTCTTTGTTTGCAGTAGTGGGGAGAACAGCTCAGTGGTGCAGATTGCAAATTTGATTTCGTCGCTAATATGCGGATTTGAGGTGTGATCACAAATTGATTAAGTTGTCTGTCTCTTTGTATTTATAAATTCCATTATCATAGACTGCGTGGTGTAGGATTCATCCCTTCAAATTTAGCCATTTACTGTATAGATTCTATCTGTGAAGTGTCTGCCTAGACTCTCCTTTTAGTTAAAGGAGAGAAATAGCTGCTCCTGCAATGTGATTCATCTCATCCTGGTGCACCTTGGGCCTAAACAGGTCAGATGAATTGGGCTCCAGAAGTTCCTATTTCTCTTCATTGACTTAAAGGAAATCCAGAGAAGCAGATCCCATAAAGTCATTTGTATTGCAAGAGTCTGAAGTTAAGGAGACCAGTCTGATCCTGAATGCCTGCAATTATTTAAATCTAGTTCTGAAAGCATATAGTTTCTGTCACAAAACCACAACTGGGCGTTATTGTGAAGGCACAGTAGGGTACCAGAGATAATCTTGAGAATAACAATGCAGAAAACTTTGCATCGTCCATCACCTTTATGGTTGAAACAAGCATGTGTATATATATATGTGTGTGTGTGTATGTATGTATGTGTATACACACACACACAGAGTCATTTTTACTTACTAAAAATATAATTTTATGAAAAAAATAGAGATACGACTTCCAGAAGTAGACTTTCCTGTTCATACCTTACAAGATGCTCCTTTTCATTACCTGTAAGAAATGGCATGCTGTTAACTGGTACAGGAAAAAAGAGACCAATTTAAAAACAATACAGTTTTGCAAATGTTTTAAGACAGTAGCTCTTCAGGTGACAGGTTTTGCAAGCACTGGAGGACAAAAATATATTTCTAGCTAATGATTTAGATAAATGTGAGTTCTGCTGAAATGACTGTGGTTTGGAAACACTTTTCCATGTTACCGAATGGAACCATGAGGCTATGCACTGGCTGAAATTATACAGATATATCATGCTTTGATGCGTGTTCAGGTTTTTTCCTTTAAAAAGCTATTTTATTGAAGCTAAATTATTGTAGGGATATGAAAAGGTATAGTTTGCTCTGAATTTATCCTTGGAGGGCCTGCAGATCATTGCTTTTTCTCTGAAATTAGATAGAAGGATCCAGATGGCAGATTTCAAGCCCATCAGGTGTTTAAAATATGCCCCTCAGCTAAAAAGAAGTATTATAGTTAAATCTGTCATGGCCTTTTTATTGCTCTGTGATACACTTGACAACTGCAGCCGTGAAAGAGAGAAGCTACAAGGAGCCCAGTCAGTCTGAAGTGGAGTAGGTCAGTGGTTGGTTTCTTTGGCTGCCCCCAGGGACTTTGATAGACGTACAGACCTGCTTTATGGAATCATTAAATCCATCATGGTATAGGGCTCCCATGGAGGCAGTGAGCTTGTTCCCGTAGTTGCTTCCAGATACTGTGCCAGGCGTTAGAGGAGTGATGGAAATGATGCTTGGAGGGAAAAAAAAAGGGGCCCCCCCCCCCCCCCAAAAAAAAAACCAACAAAAAACCAAAAAAAAAGGTCTACAGCGTCTTCAGTAGCAGTAACAAGGCAGTGCATCTGGGCTGGTGCCTGGCGCTGCGTTGTACAGCTGGCACTCAATCCGAGCTGCCACGTTAGGCTGAGTGCTGATAATTCGTATCCCAGGATCCTGTCATCTGAACAGAGCAGTGTCTCCTAGTTTGGCGGAGGAGTTGCGCTGCTTTTCAAATATCTAAAAAGCAGTACAGGCTTTGCATGCTTCTTGGTGCAAAGTGCTGCTAATAATGAAGAAAGAGTAAACCTGTTTGTGCTGCTGTAGTAAGTATAAGTACTTACAGTCAAATCAGCTTTCAACAAAAGGATGATTACTGCCTGATTCAGAGAAGAGGATGGGTTTAGTTTGTTTATTTGTGTGCGTTTGTACACGTTTATATAGACACTGATTTGGGGAGGCTGATATGGTTGTGGCTTCTTTGCTTCTCCTTGCTTCTTTCTCCAATTACAAAAAAAAAAAGGAATAAAGCGGACACCTTCTTCCTTTGTTTATTTAATAAGGCACAGGGAAAGATAGCCTATAATGTGGTATGCATTAGCAAGAGGTTCATTCTGTAAGACAAAAGAGCAAAACCTGTATCTAGAAGATCATGTGACCGCAGTCCTGTATAAGCAGTCTCTGGTAACTCTGGTGAATTGTGAGGGTTATTTTTAAGAGTGAAGGTTGGAGTGAAGGGAAGTGCCATTAATGATGCCCCTTTCATGAAAACATTATCCTACAAGAAGGCTACACACTGCCTTAACTCTGCTTTTGTCTGAATTCTTCCTTTCGTTTTAGATTCCAGAGGGGTGACTACCACATCGATGTGTGCATCAATGACTATCTGGATGTGTTCTGCCCTCACTATGAAGATTCAGTGCCAGAAGATAAGACCGAACGCTACGTTCTTTACATGGTGAACTTTGATGGTTACAGCTCCTGCGATCACACCTCCAAAGGATTCAAGAGGTGGGAGTGTAATCGGCCGCATTCCCCAAATGGACCATTGAAGTTTTCAGAAAAATTCCAGCTCTTCACTCCCTTCTCACTAGGATTTGAGTTCAGGCCAGGCCGGGAATATTTCTACATCTGTGAGTATATAGAGATTTTATCATTTTTGCGTAGCAGGTGTAGGAAACCCAGCTAATTTTTCACCTATGCTCTGTGGAAATGCAGAGGGCCAAACTGTGTGTGATGCAGATGCCTTACAGTGAAGGCAGACTTAAGTATCCCCAGGTACATTAGCTAGGAATCTAGAGTGAAAATGAGATTAAAAGCACAGCTTCTTTTCTCACATGAAATAGCACGTCAGCCGGTTCACTGAACCGTGGCTGACTTTTAAAGCAAAACACGCTATTAGATTTATTCTAACACTCTGAAGTGGCAGGGGGAGGAAGAAGAGATGGTTGGAAGTTCTCCCCAAATACAAGGAGAAATAATTACTTCTTTGGATGTGAAATCCCTGGATTTTGTTATTTGCTTAAATTACATATTCTTGTCACTGTAATATTTGTCATTCAGGGAGAGTGAAGGTGGTTTAGTTTGTAAGTGCTGTAGCTGCTAATATCAATAGTCCAGCGATATTTAAAGTCATAATTTCTGAGGATAAATATACGAGCGTCGAAGCCAAGGGGCTCTCTCTTTCTTTCTTTCTTTCGTGTTTTTTTTTCCCTTAGAGCAGCTGTTGCTGTAAGCGTAGGGGGATGTGGAATGCAGTGGGAGCAGATTCCGAGCAAATTAGTATAAATGAGCTCACACACCTGCCTCGGCAAACGATGGGGAACGCTGTCGGCTCTGAGCTCTTCTCGAAGGAGACCTGCATCAGTGTTGCTCTGGGCACCACAAATGGGCTGGAAACCTAGAGGACACGCAGGATAACATCTGGGGCTAAAGAAATAAAAACATCAGGAGGTTAAAAACCAATGGGTTGAGCTACCTGATTCTTACAAACCCGCTATGTAGCTGTTACTGCTTCAGCTGTCTTGTTTGGTTAATCCTCCGACAAGGATCTTATTTCGTCAATTTGTTTTGTACCTGAATCTTGCACTTTCCAACAAGTTTTGATTGTTAAAACTGCGATTTTTTGTGTGTTTTTTAGTGTTAGACTAGAGAGTTAAAAGCCTTAGACAGGCTGTAGATCCCAATAAATATTGCCTTCATGCCTGTAGTTGGCCTTTCTACTGTGAAACAGTCATTCCACCTCATTTCACCGCAGAAACTGAATACATATGATCCCTATTTTTCAGCCTCATTTCTTCAGCATTGAGATTTTTCTTTTCCCTCTCCAAATATACAGGGAAATACACTCCTGATGGATTGTTTTCAATTCATTTCCTGCAGCAAATCAAATTCTCTAATGAGTGGCATTTCACCATCAGAAGAACAGTGCCTTGTTCTTGTACTGGAGTGTAATAATTATCAGAAAAAGAATAATTAAGCTATAATACAAAACAGTTTTTCGGTACGATGATGAGAAATCATGTAAAACCCTGGTGCCATTTCAGATCCCAGAGCAAATAAGAAAAAAGAATGATGCGGAGAGTGTGGTAGGATAGGTGAACCAGTACTGCGTTTGCCTAGTCCTAGTCACCTCGCTCACGAAAGCTTCCCATTAACTTTAACAGGAGTTTTTTTTCTCTCAGAACTGCAGAATGAGGCTCCCTGTGGACACCAGATTTTGTTTTGGGTTAGTTCGGTTCCTGAGCATCGTCAGCATAGCAAGCAGGAACACTTAAGCTAAGGAATGCAGTCTCTTTAACTGTCCTGTGGTTGCAATAAAATGCAGCACAGGCATGGTAGCAGTAGCTGCAAACATGAAAAAACTTCCATATTGTTTTTCTAGATTTAAAAAAAGATAGAGAAACCTTTAATAGAGGTGAAAACCAAACAAGGAAGTAAAGAAAAGGATGAGAAATCTCCCCTTGATCTAGCTAGGTAATGGCTTCATTGTTAAAACATACAAAGTCCATTGAACTCTCAGGCAAGACATTATTATTCAAGCACACCCGGGGTGCCTTAGGATTGCTTTTCCTCATCTGTGGTTAAATTCAATATTTCACTAAAAATCATTATGTATCTTCTATAACATTCATTTAACAGAGTCATTTAGCTGTCAAGGGCTCCCTTCAAAATAATTGTTCAAACGTCCTTTAAAATATGAAGAGCTTTATGATGTTCAACTGAGTTTAGATGGAATTATTTTTTTAATGAAAGATAAAATAGCAAAAAGCCTTAGAAGCAAAGAGATGTTCATTTGCCTGTAGCTTACTGGCCTGGTGTTCACCAAAAGCAAATGTTGAGCCACGTTTTAGAGAGCCAAAACATTTTTCTTCCTTTTCTGTAGTTGAACTATTTCTTCCCCTTCCTCTTTTCCTCTGCGGAGGCCAGTAAGGAGGTGGAGAACGTGGCGGTTGCAAGAAGGGCAGCACACTGGCAACGATTAAATGCAAGGATTCTCAGGGGAGGGTTGGCCGTCCTGGTACGTTTTTCTCCTAGTTTGTGCCGAAGAAACGAGACGGTGAAACGCCGCTCCTTGTTTCCTCGTCAGACCTGTCAGCAGGCTCTCCAGTGCAGGCCGCAGAGGCTGCCTTTGTTACCTCTCCGTGGCTGTATATTAAGGAAGTTGCTGCTTAGCGAGGGAAGGCTTCGTTTCCTCGGCAGATCTGAAACCTTTGCCTTCTCGCTCTGCCCCAGGACGGAGGGCTGGCTAGACTGAGCGTCAGGCTGGTGTAGCCTGTTTAAGGGGCACGAAGCATGTGGCTTAGTCTAGACCTCTGGGAAGACAGGAATACTAAGTGCTTGGTTAGGTGTTTCGCTTAATTACTGTCTGGTTTGGTGCTGTTTGGGAAAGGTTTGTTGTTTGCAAATCTCCTTGCTTTGCCTTTGCCTTTTAAGGATGTTCCTTGCCCTTCCTGCTTCTGTTGTTTTGGGGGAATGCCATAATTCGAAAACTATCGCTGTCTCTTTTTCCGAAGCATTTGTTTTTAAAACTGCTGCTGTTTTTTGTTATGTCATGCCTTCACGTATTGCCCAGAGGACAATTGGATCTCCTTTCTTTGCGTGTTCGTTCTAGGAAAAGTCAGGAAAAAATAGTTTTCTGGTATCAAATTTACACTGAAGCAGTGAATTCAGCATTGCAGGCATGAAATGAACAAGTGCTAATAGAGTTTAAAGAGGAAAAGATTATTAAATATTTACAGAGAAATTATCTTTAAAAAGGTGGTTTTAATTAGGGAGATCATAGTGGGGGGCAGGGAATGTAAATAATACATCATAACCCGAAGACTCAGTTTCTACTTAGTTCTTAGCAGGCTCTCACCTAAGGTTAGTATGTGTTAGTCACAGACAAAATAATATTACTACTGGAACAGAAGCAAGCGAAATATAGAAAAAGCAGAATTTAAATACTTCATGGGGCAATTGTGGTTTTAATCTTTTGGAAGGGGGAAAAAATTGGGGCTTTCAGGTTAAGATGGGGGCACAAGGGATGATGTACACAAAAACAAGGAAGGACAAATATGGATCATAAAATACAAGAGTTTTGTGTAATTCAGAATGAAGGTATCTTTTTCAGTGCTTTGTCAGCTTAATGACAGGTGATTTATTTTTATTAAGGTTGTAAGTATTGAATAAAATGCCAGTAATAACTTGGCAAGCAGGTATAAAATCAAGAGTTGATCAAATAAAAAAAAAAAAAGAAGAAGAAGATACTGCTAGGAACAGACCTGGGGCAGATTACTGCAGGATGCTGAGAGCAGTTTTTCAGCCAAGCTCCTGTGTTAGTTTAAGCTAGATCCCATTCCTCTTTTTTGAGGATATGGTACGTAGTGTCTGAAGTTTTACTAATGTTAAGCTCTTTCATAAGTACTGCTTTCCTCTGAGCCATCAGTCCCGTTATTCTGTCACAGACTTAATGCTTGATATGATTTATTCTTAACAGATCCATATTGGTTTTATCATCTTCTTACCCTCCTAAGAATGCACACGTATTGTTTGTTTAATCATTTCATCATTTTGACTATTGACTTCTGTATACATTGTCTCCCCTTTTCTAAAGAGACCAGCTAGGCTTGCTCTGGCTGCTCTCCTGTTCGCCACAAGGTCTTGAAGACATTTGCTAGTGGTTAGCGGGCTTTATGTGTAACTTATCTAAATGTAACTTAAATGGTTCTTTCTCCTTTCTTGCAGAGAGAACTTTTGTCCTTTAAAAATCCTGTTGTCTTACCTGTGGCTTTACCTTACATGTGGCCTTATTTGTGTAACCTTTTTAATTGATGCTTGTTTCTGGTTTTATCCCATGCATGTCTCTTTCTGATTTTATTTCAAGATGCTTATGCTGTTTCTTTATCATCTTTAATGGAGTGCCCTTGTCACCATTTCGCTGTGTAAAGCTTCTGATTGTTGATTCGGGAAGCTTTTAGTGTAACCGTATTGCTCCTGACCACATCAGGATAGGGTGCTCGTATGGTTTGGATTCAGTTATGGTTTTTAGTAATATTTTTTTCATGGGTTTTTAAAGCTCTGATTAAATTAAAAACTGTGATTTGTAACGTTGCACTTAGTTTTACATATAGTTCTTTATAATCACTTCCTGCTCTCCTGTATTCCTTTTCCCCTTACCGTGTATCCTCAGGGGACCTTGTGCTACCTGTTCCCTTGGTTTTTCTTAAAATGTGTTATTATTCCCCATTATCTTGGTTTCTCTGCGCTAATTCCTTCCTTTTCCTGAAATTGCTGACTCTTACCTCCTGACGACTTTTATTCAGATTTCGTTCTGTTTTGTTCTGAGCGGCTTCTCTAGTAGAGAATTTGTGATTTTCAGAATCTCAAGTAGAAAATGGTCTCTCTCCTGTTAACTGGTTCCGGTGCTGTGACTGGAAGTTGCCCTCACTGTGTTCCAAGAACTTGCGGGACTGTACGAGTCCTGCTGTCTTTTTTTTCTCTAACAGCTGCCAGCGTAGTTGGGCTATCTCATTGCAACCATCGGCGTGCCTCTGGAGGCTCCTGTGACTCAGAAGATCCTAAGGAGAAAGCAGTAGTAGAAAAGAATGTTTATAATGCCTCTGTTTCTCTCTTTCTCTCTCTTATCTTT